AGGAGCCATCCGTAACCCCGGGGAACTTCGGGGTTCGGCTCCGGGAAGGTGGGGAGGAGAGGGGGTCGGCTGCAGCGCCCGTCCGCCCGCGGGAGCGACGCTCCGAGGGGTGGGAGGAGGCCTGGGACCTGGAAAAGGGGGTGTTGGCAGGAGGAGTCGGTGGGGTACCAACGCCTGGAATTTAGAAGGGACCTGGGCGCTGTGGGTCTCCAGAAACCTCCAGCCCAATTCGGACCCCTCGGGAAGGGATACGGTATTAAGTCCTTGGAGTTGGGAGACCTGCGTTCAGTCGGCCCTTATCTTGTCCCTGGCTGACCTTGGGCAAGTTATTTAAACTTTTCTGTTCTCGCCTTTCTCCATCTGGCAATGAGAGGTGAAGATCTCTCTCTTGACAGATGCTATGGGGTTAACTAATATACACGAAGTATTTTTTTTAATGCAAAAACAAAAAATAAGCTTGGAAAGAAAAACTCCTTGGAAATACGAGGCGTTCATTATTCCTCCCTTCTTTATTTTTGGGTAAAGAAATGTGGTTTTATTTTTTTTTAAAAAGGCATTGCACAATGCTGAAGGGAAACAGAATCACAGTGGGAAGGTTTCAGACTTAGAAATCCCAGCGCGCTGGGGAAGCCAAAGAGGCTTTTTATCAATATTCCTGCTTGTGTGGGGGGAAAAAAAGCGGTTCTTTGTAGCCCTTTATCGGAGATGCTGCCGAGACTGGGCTAGAGGAGGCAGAAGCTCAGGCAGACCTCCCGCCCCTGCCCGGCTTGCCATCGGTTGCTGTGATAACATCGAGTTCTGGCGTTTTAAATGTGAAGGTAGTGAGCAGTTGTGGGGGAATGTTCTGAAGGCACATCTTTGGTCAGGCCTGGAGCTGGTGGGAGGGAGATTTCTGCTCTTTGGCGGGGAGGCGTCATTCTCCTGGACAGTGATGTCCCCTCATCCTCTTGCCAAGGTTAAAGAGGTCGGTCTCTCTTTCTTAGGATTTAATCTGCTTCGGATGATCACTCAGGTGGCCCTCAGGGTTTGCAGCTGATGCTTGGGAACTGTTAACAAATTGTGAGCTGGTTACAAATTGCATGCTAGTGGCTTTGCTTTTTTTTTTTTTGCTTTTTTTTCCTTAGAGCATTTTCTGCTGGGTGGTGGGTGGTTTTGGCCCCTGCTGCACAGGTAACACACACCATTGTCAGCTTTGGGTTACCCTCTGGGGATAATTCAACATTCTGGTGGTGTTTTGGGCATATTCATGGACAGAAATCTATCTTTCAGTACTTTTTCTACGCAAAGGATCTAACTTCTGGTTTTTATATCATGTTAGATTTCACTTGCTGCTCGGTGGGAACTGTCAGTCACAGGTTTACATAATAATCAGGTCTATAGTTTCTAGAAGCTTTAGAAGCTTAATTGGGCACCCTGGGTGGAGAAAATAAAGCCAGAAGAAGTGAATCTGTTTTTGAAAGGCAAGTCCGTTTCATTAATTAAAGAAAAGGGTGGCTGGTAGATCATTTTGGGGTGGAGGCAATTAAGAATTACACAGCTTCCTCTTTAGAACCTTAGAAGGGACTGGAACATGTTTAAATAAACATATCATTTAGAATGGGCGCTGTTTTAAATATATTCCTGACACACTCTGCTCCCTCCCCTACCCCTAAAGTGGTGAATACACTTGGCCACAAAGTGCACATCAGTTCTTTGGTCTGTAGCGATGTGACCCAAGACAAGACAAGATAAGTTAGCCCATCAGGGTTTTCAACCTACTGAACACTTTAAGGAAAAAGAAAATTGAGCACAGCGAATCTATTCCTCACTCGCTGAATGCTGTCGAGATCATTATCTGATGAGAGCTTGGCTCAGCTCTGGAACTTTCCACAAATCATCTCTCTGAGAATTGAACTGCTTGAAAAAAATGTCCCCTTTCATTTCTCTTGGATTTGGGTTTAGAGATCATGATGGGGAGAGGGGATGGTCTAAGTTTCTTGGCTAGAATTTATAGAGTTCAGTTTTTATATTCATTTGCCTGATTTAAGAAATGCCTTAGGTCCTAGCTTTAGCACAGGGGCTGCCAGGAGAATGAACAGTGATACGTAGACCGTGTGTGTCAGGTTCCTAGGAAGGAAGAGAAATTTGGCTTATGTATGTATTTCATTAGCAGCAGTTCCCAGTAAACCTCATTAGCTTCCCGTCTAAATATGCATTTTTGATCCTATATTGGAACTGGCTCATTCTGCATTTTAGCGTGAATTTTTACATCCATATAATATAGGCAGCCATCTAGACTCATATATTCTAGAAACGTGAAATGAGATTAGAGATAGCTATAATATGGCCTCTAAAAATATATGTTCAATGGAGGTTGCAATTTTAAAAATTCTGGATTTTTAATGCCCTGATCTTTTGTACTCATCCACTGATTTTCTTTCTTTCCTTGCCCTTTGAATAGTTTAGGTCCTTAACCGCTTTTAGCTCGTTATATAACCATGTGCATGAGACCAAGGATGGGGTGACAAGTCTCTTTTAGAGAGAAATGACTGGGACTTGATTTGTTCTCGGCCATGCAAAAGAAGGCACCAGCCTGTGTCCCAGGCTGAACCAGGAAGGGACTTGTAGTTGGACCTGCCAGCCTGGCATTGAGCTGTTAGCTTCAGATCCGAGGAGGCCTAATAGGGGGCCCAGGGAACTTATAGTGCACAGTGGGGCTATTTCAGATAGCGGAAGTCTCTCTGAGGAGATATTTGGGCAGAGACCTAAATGAAGGAAAAGAACAAGCCATTCTATTCTGTGGGGAAAGAGCATTCCTGGCAGGGGGAAAGGTATGTGCAGAGGCCCCGGGGCAGAAATGAGCTTGTCCTATTCAAGGCTAGGTGGAAGGTTAGTGTGGCTAGAGCAGAGAGTGCAAGTAGAAGACAAGAAGGAAGCGAAGTCAGCGCCAGTACTGTCGTTTTAACTTGTTCTCTCCTGTTCCTTCTACCTCTTAAATTGCATCTTTTTCATGGATTCTTACTTCTGTTTATGTTGGTGTTTGCCTGGGTTCTGTCCTTGACTTTATAATCTCACTCTCAACTATGCGTATGACACTAATCAGACATCTACCAAATGTGAGACAGTGGCCCCCAGGGCAGAGTCAGTCTCTCAGCGGGAGGTCTGTAAACTGGGGCCACAAAGTTTTCTGCCTTGTAAATTGAAGCGTGGGGTGTGCTGGGGCATGGCCAGTAATAATGGCACTTTATGTGAATTAGCTCATTTTAATCTCACAACAACCTTTAAGAAGTTAGTCCAGTGTTAGCCCCATATTCATTTGAAGAAACTGAGGCACTGACCAATTGAAGAATTTATTTACTTAGCCTCACGTAACCAGTGTGGAGTCCAAACGCAGGTCTAGAGAGTTTGGCTGTGGAGCCTGGGCCTGGGAGTAGTTAGGAAGAGGCAGAAAATAGATGTGTGTTGTGTGTGTAGGTGTATGTGTGTGTGTGTGTGTAATTCCAGGCAGAAAGCGTGACTTGAGCAAAGGCTAAAAGGCCTCAGTTTTCTTATCTGTAAAATGGGGGTCACTGTGAGGTTTAAATGCAGTCGTCCTTGTAAGTGCATATGCGTGGTACATAGTGAGTCCTCAGGAGGCATTAGCTATTGCTATCAGCTGCCTCGCCCAGCCAATATACTGTCCCCACCAAGTCCTGTTGCCAGCTCTTCTTCCTGAAAGCCCTTCAGATTTCTCCTCTCCCTGCCCACTGCTCTTACACTAGTCCAGGCGCCCATCTCTGTTCAGTCTGACTGCAGTAGCCACCTCCCCAGCTGGCCTCCCTGCCCCTGGTCCTGGCGCCTCCCGATCCCCTGCTCCTGTTACTCCTCTGTGTCAGAGTCTTCAAGGGCTCCGCTCTGCTTGGAGGTCGAAGTCTAACCTCCCTAATTTGGCAGACAAGCCTCTCCAGGAGCTGACTACCCTTCTCGCCTGCTGCCCTAGGTCCCAGCATCCCACCTTTTAGGGAGGGAGGTGGTTTAGCATGGCTGATGGCACCAGGTGTTCTCAGGTGTCTGGGTCTTGCTCTGAAACACACCTCCCTCTATTTTTACAAGGCTCACTCTCCCTCCTGGTAGACCCTCTCCGTCTGACTTGGTTCTCTTGGGGCCTCTCAGGGTAAGCCTCTAACAGTCTTTGTTTTAGACTATAAGGAGTACTTCCCTCTGTGGGTTGTAAAATCCCAAAGGGTACATAGTAGGTGATCAATAGTTGGCTGTCTGACCAACTGGAAGACAGAATAAAGGATAGTAGGGGCCAGTGACCATGCACAAAATTTTAAAACCCCATTTTTCTATTGCAGGTAAGCAGAACTTTTATCATTGAACGAACAAAAGAGCAAACGTGTCCATACTATGTGGTAAAATCAGGTGCATGACAACTGACTGGGACTCATGGTTTAGCTACAAAATCAATCCAAAGAGCTGTCTGATGACTTCTCGTTTTTGCCCCCCGCCACCCGGCTATTATGCAGTCCAGGCGCTCGCTCATGGTCAGCACTGGTTAGGGGCCTTTCGATTACGAAGCTGCATGGAAACATGTACAGACTGCCCTTTGACCTTCAGCCCTTCACATTTGAGAAGTTTCTTTCTGGGGTAAAATTCAATTAAAATTTTACTTTGATCCCGTGAAGAAGCGTTTTAATCTTTTCCTGTGAAACATTTTGTCCTTTGTAACAGGCATGCAGATTTTCTATCAGAATGTAGTCCTAGGCAAACAGTCCACAGCTGCCAAGGAAGTTTCTAGAACAAACAATTCAACGTATGTTTTGTGAGTGTAGGCACCACTGTTGTAGGTTCTGGAAGTCAAAACAAAAACAAACACTGCCTGTGCTCATACATCTTCCAGTGTCATGATAAGGCATGGATTTTTTCCTTCCGGAGAAATTGGGAATAGGACATAGGATTTTCAGCACTGAATGGATGGGTAGGGAAAAAAGGAAGGGCCTCCCTCATTAGGGTTCATGAAAAGACTTTGTCACTGTGCCTCGGAGAGTAGAATCCAAGGGAAGCGGGGAGGATGAGTCTCAGGCACAGTGTTCAAAGTGCAGGAATGGCGATTAGAGTGTTTGAAAGCGTACTAGAGGCTTTGGCGAACATTTGTGGTGTCTCCTGTGCATTAGGGCCAGGAACTGCAGCCGGAAGATAAGCGGGGGGTGGCCGTGACCTCCAGGACTACGGGTCTAGCTCAGTCCAGTGGAAGATACAGGGATGCTGCTGCTGCCGCTAGTAACTGCCCTGCTTGTGTCCTCGTGCCACTGCAAAAATCACGAGAGAGCAAATACAGAAGTTTTGTGGGCGTCTGGGAAGCCCTATAGCAACATGGTACATTTTGTACATAGTATATAGCAATATAGTCTGTTGACCCTGTTGTAGTATTGAAGAGACCTGTTTTTACAGGAGCTGCTCTGGGGAGCGGAAACACACTTTCTAGACCTGGATTCGTCAGCCTCAGAGAGACCTCCCAAGGCGCCAGTCCCTACCTGGGGCCAGCCCGTGGCTACTGTCTGTGGCGGGCGGTCTGTGATTTTTAAATGAAGGAATTTCAGTCACAATATAAAGGAGAAAGTTGAGGCCCGTTTGAAAAATATCTTCCTGAAGAATTTAACCTGAACCTTTTATCATTATTTGTTGACCCTTTTTATCTTTAATAATGCTTTTTGCCTTAAAGCATTTTTCATCTAAAATTAAACGACTGCACATTTATTTTGCTTAGTATTTGCTTGCTGTATATTTTTATATCTTTTACATGAATAGTTACATTACATTAAAACATAACATTATGCTTTAGGTGTTTCTCTTATAAACAGCATTTAGTTAGTTATTGTTTTTAGAAATCCATCTCACAGTTTCTTAAATAGCAGGTGTATACCATTTACATGTATTGTTATTACTAATATATTTAAACTTCATTCTACCATGTTACTGTGTATTTTCTCTTTTGTCTTTTTTTCGATGCTTTATTCTCATGATTTTTTTGGGTTACATCTTCTCTCTCGTTCTTCCCCACCATCTATCTCCCACCTCCTCCAACACAACAAACTGGTTTGAAATAGTGTCCATTTCTGTTGTTTTAATGATTACCCTTCTACGTGTAGTTAAATCTTACTTAACACATTTCACATTTTCACATTTATTCATCACATTTTCTTTAACTCCAAATTTAATCTGTCAACCTCTCCTCTGAACAATCCCTTGTCTTTTAAACACCCAGCCTTTGGCTTATATACCACTTCATTTAGTATTTTAGTTTTGTATTGTTTTATTCAAATCCTCACCCAAGGATATTTTTAAAATTGACTTTAGAGAGAGGAAAGGTGGGGGGAGAAACACTGATGTGAGAGAAACATTGGTTGGTTGCCTCCTGTTTGTGCCCGGACTGGGGATCAAACCCACAAATCTCTAGGTATGGGCCCTGGCTGAGAATGGAACCCGCAACCTTTTTGGTGTACAGGACAATGCTCCTCCCATCAGCTGAATCACCCATCGGGGGCTAGCTCTGTTCTATTTTTTTAAATCTCCCCAATTAGGCATTATAATTACTTTATATTGACAATTTTTGTTTAGATTTGCCTCCTACGTACTTACCTGAATGCCACATTCAGTGGAATGCTGTACCCAGGCACTGTACTGGCCTCCTCGCCGTGGTTAAGACGAAGGGTAAAATAGTTCGGATCGTGAGATGGGCCCGATTTTTTTGTTGTTGTTGTAAGATCATACAGCTTATGAGTGTACCCAAAATAACTGAGGACCACAGAAATGTGTGTGAGTTTTGTCACACATTTCTGTTAAGCGGGCCTCTGAAACAGCACAGCCGAGATGATGTCTGTCTAGTTCCCGACAGGACCTCGGTTCCTAGCACATCAGCTAAAAGCCTGCCAGCGAGGTAGCACGGATACAGCAGGAATCCACCTAACCAGCCGGCCTGCAATATTAATCTGTCCTTCTGTCTTCGCCTCTCTTCTTAAATGTTTGCCGAGTGTAACGCAAATATTTACCTGGGTTTTAATTCCAGCTTTGTGGCTGTTCAGAGGTGTGACTCCGGGCCGGTTCCTTAAGTTTGTGAGCCTCCAGTTCCTCACCTGTATGGTGGGATAGTCGTAGCTACCTGAAGTGGCTTGTTCAGGAGCTTAGGTGAAATAATGGATGCAAATGAAATAATGAATGTTTAGCACAGTGCCTGGCAAAGGAAAAGTGCTCTGTAACCAGTGTCTTCAAAGTCTACCGCTATCCCAATTATTATTTTTCAGAATTTACGTCTCTGATTTGCCCTGCCATGATTTTTGCCCCTCTTTATTTCTTCAAAAAATTATTGTGCACTGCAGTTGACATGCAAACAAATTTATAGCTTAACAAATATAATTATACTGTGACTATGCGGTGACCACCACCTAGGTGAAGAAATAGAACATTCCCAGCACCCCGGAACGCACCCTGCCCTCTCTGTGCCCTCCGCAGTCCAGGCTCCCTTCTTCCCCTAGCATGCTGACTTTCGTGCTAATTATTGCGCTACTTTCCTTCCCCCCTTTACCATCCTTGTATACATCGGAAAGAATATAATTTAGTTCTGTTGTGAAATTTTCATTGATAGGACCATGTATTATTTGTGTTGCCTCTTTCATTCAACACTATGATTGTGAGATCCATCCATAATATTTTGTGTAGCTTTACCTCGTTTTCTTTGCTGTAGAGTAGTCCGTTTTATGGATATCCTTGGTCTTTTGTAGTATAAAATAAAAATAGTAGCTGGCATTAAATGAACACTTTCTATGTGCTGCCCGATGAGGTAGGTGCCTTTACTGTTCCTGTTGTACATGCGAGGAAATGGAGCCACATAGAGATGACATGTGCCCGAGGGTTGGGAGCAGGTGTCTAATCTAAATACTGACTCTGGAGTTTACGAAGTTTATTAATCTCATTCAGAGTCGCCAGTGTTTCCACTAGTTGCCTGATTTTTAAAAATTTACTTTCGGTTGATTCCTAAAGGATTAAATGGATAGTCAAGCTTTCCTATAAAATCTAGCACTTTTGTTTTAATTCCTGCAGAAGAGGACACACCTCCCTTTATCCAGAGTCCCCTTGACCGTGACTGCCACGCGTCTTTGTATTTTTNCTGGAGTTTATGAAGTTTATTAATCTCATTCAGAGTCGCCAGTGTTTCCACTAGTTGCCTGATTTTTAAAAATTTACCTTCGGTTGATTCCTAAAGGATTAAATGAATAGTCAAGCTTTCCTATAAAATCTAGCACTTTTGTTTTAATTCCTGCAGAAGAGGACACACCTCCCTTTATCCAGAGTCCCCTTGACCGTGACTGCCACGCGTCTTTGTATTTTTGCTCTGTCTTTTTGAAATACTGCCACCAAAATCACTCCCTAGTTTTACCATTCAGATAGGATTCCGGTTTCATCTGTTCCTGCTCACATTTATTCACAGCCTCCCCCGGGCGTTGGTCCCTAACTTCAGCTTTCTGCCCTCTGTTGATTGCTCATCTCTCGGTGCCTGTTTTCTCCCTCATCTGTGTTTTCTTCTTTCCACCCACGGGCATTTCCGTGCTTGTCAACCTCAGTCAATCTCTCTCTTCTCTTTTTTGTCTCTCCCCCACCTTCTTTCTCTCCGTGGCCACCTTTGATGCCGTTGACCTTGTCCCTTGAAGGTCTCCTCACTTGCAAAGTCTTTCAAGGACAGGCCATGAGTGACGCCTTTGAAAAGAATAAGGAATGAGACTTCGTAGGAGGCAGAGTCGTGTGAAGTGTTTCAGGTCTGGAAATTGTTGATTCAGCTCATTCCACAAATACATACTGAATTATTTGCTACCTATGCATTTTGTGTAGCTGAATTATTAACCATACCCCATCCACCCCACCCCACCCCCAAAAAAGTGAGATAAGCATTATTGTCAACCATTTTCAGGTGGAGAAACCTATATTAAAAGAATCCAGGCCAGAGTAACGGGAAGAAACAATTACCACTCGTTTAAAAACAGAAATCCTCTTCGGGTTTCTTTCAGTTGGAGAAAGCAGGTGCCAACGTAAGGCAAAGTGGCAAAGTGGTGTTCGGCCAAGTCCAAAGAGTTTGTGTCAGCAGACCTGGGCTTCAAACCCGGGTCTGCCGACCCCCAGCCCAATAACTGCTAATGAAATTATAACGAATGGGAAGGGGAGTTGCCATTCATTTATTCTTTAATTTCAGGCCTTCCTTTCTTCTTTCTTTGAACCAGTGAATGTGTGTTGAGGATTTGCCTTATGCCAGGGACCGTGCCAGGCCCTGGAAGTCACAACCCTGACTGACACCTGCCCTTGACAAGCGCGTGGTTTAGGATTCACGTAAACCAGCGCGGGCAGTCCCTGCTTTTCAAAGTTCCTGTCGCGCCACTTTGCAGATACTGCGCTTTTTACAAATTGAAGGGTTGTGGCCACCCTGCGTCAAGCAAGTCCATCAGCACCATTTTTCCAACAGGTGCATCTGATGGTTAGCAGTTTTTAGCAATAAAATATTTTTAAATTAAGGCATGTACATTTTTTAGACATAATGCTATTGCACACTTAATAGACTATAGTATACTGTAAACAGCTGTTAAATGCACAGGGAAACCAAAAAATTTGTGTGACTTGCTTTATTGTGATAGTCGCTTTCTTGGGGTGGCTGGAGCTGAACCCGCAGCATCTCTGAGGCCTGCCTGTGCAATCTCACCTGCCCAGTGCTGCGGGGTGTGTGCCCAGTACTCAGGAAGCACCTTCGAAAGTGGAGAAGGTCTGGGAATGTTTCTCAGAGGAGGAGTTCGCCACATGCATTTGCTAGAATTATTTTTCCCATGTTAAAATAGCTTAAAAATAATTTTTTCACATTTTACCTCCCTGTGTGTGGACCTGCAATGGCCTTGATGTGGCCACAGAGGGCCACCGCTGCTTTTCTGCCCTCTGGCTGCCATCTGCTTTTGTCAGGACTTTCCACCTGCTTTTAAACCCAGGCACATCCAGATGCCCTTGAAGATGACTCCCATTTCCTGCCTTTTCTGACCGGGGGCCCGCAATTCTTTCCTTCTCAGAATGGCCACTTACAGAACCATCTCTGCCAACCCTCATCCCTCTCCCTTTGAAATGGACTCTCTACGTTTCCAGAAACCCTTTGTCTTTATATTATTCTTTCCTTTAGGCTTATAATTTTCACCATTAAGTATCAGATTTTCAAATGTTTCCTAGTATCACAGAACATAAAATATTCAGATATTCCTTCAGGCCAGTTTTGCAACCATTACTGTCTCTCACCTGTAGTGTTTTATATTAAATGATCATATGGGCTTATTTTGATATTTCAGAATCAGTTATTTATGTCCTGCATGTTTCATAAACAATTTGAAGCAGTTATCTCATTTTGAGCTCTGTTCTGCCACAAGCTGTAGTGTGACCTCGGCAGGGCCCTCAGCTGCCTGGGCCTCAGCCTTTCCTCACAGATGTGGGGTGGGGTCTGCCCTGTTTTACCTGGTGCCTGAGATGATGTGGGTGAAAATGCTAAGATATTATGTACATGTGAGGTTTGAGTTTCTTTGTCCTCTTCTGTCTAGAATTTTTCCTGTCCCCAATGGTGGGGAACCCAATGTGGTGTGTTATGCTTTTAGCCTTGAGGGGAGTCACATCCACCTCTCTCTGTCTCCGCTTCACTTCTCTCATGGCCGGGCCTCCATCACCACCGTTGCCCCCCATCAGTTTATTGTCGCTGCCTCATGGAGGCGTCTTTCTGCCTCTCATCACGCTTTCCTCCCCTCTGTTCTCTGCACCAGTGCGAAGTGATCTTTCTGAAATGAGAATGGGATCCCTCTCTCTAGGCAGAACCCAAACTTGTTAACGTGGTTTATAAGACACTTTGTAGTCCGGCCGCTGCTCACCCCTCCTTTCCTTACTGCATTCAGCTGCCAAATCACAAAGCCGTCGGTGGCCTCTGAGCCTCCAGACATGAGGACAGCTCTCTGCCTGGATTTTTGGCCTCCATTTAGCCCCCTTTTGTTTAGTCAAGTAGTGTTTACCTTTAGGTTTTTGTTTAGATGTCACTTCCTCTGGGAAGCCTTACCTGATACCCTCTAGTCTGGCTCAGGTGTTCTCTCACCTGCCCCCCCCCCCCC